GTGTGTCCCAATTCCATCTATCTATCATTTTCCAGGATGAGATGAGACAAAACTCATAACCATAAGTCCAACAACCAGCTAGAAGAGTAGTGAGGGCAGATTGCAAGGTAATAAGTTGGTAGTGCGTTAATATACATGTTCCACACATTTCCAGAAGTTGATCATCATGGCCAATTTAAAAGTACAATGGCAATACAAGTTTTAACCTAAATATTAGCCCCGATAATAATTTGAGTTGTTGATAGAAAAATGAATATTGCTCTATTTCTAAGAATGATATTCAGTTAGTTCAAGTCAAAGTCAAACTGAATTGTCGAACCAAACACGTTTAAACATTTTTGCTTTCGATCTCTAATCATCACTTAAACTATGGAAGTAAGAGGGTTAATTGGACGTACAAGTGGGATTCAGTTATATCCCAATTCGGGCATCGGTTGGAGCGTTACTACATTTGGGTTTGGTCAAGCTAAATTTGGAAGAGACCCAATTGTGCAAAGGAGGCAACACAAACCATAGCAAAGTATATGCGATTTGATTTGCTAATTGTGAATCATATTCTGATTCGGTCTGACTAAATTAAATCGCTAGAGTGTCCACTCCTTATTTAAGTGGGCGAATCTCCATAGATGTGAAGATGATAATGTTGTATCGCTCGCATATCACACTATTTACAAACTACCATCGTAACAATCCAAGTACTTAGCAAAATCCTGTGTGCTTGCCAGTTAATTTATGTCACATATATAGGTGAGAGACTAAAGTCAAATGATGGATCGATTGCTGGTTGGAATTTTTTTTTTGAAAGGGCTATAGAGAGATAATCGAGCTGCCATCTCAGCAAGCAGAAAGCTGATGTGGATATGTATAGTAGATGCATGTATGAGTCATTTTTCACTAATCCTATGATTTGCTTAATCAATAGACAATTTGACATATATACATTGATTTCAATATTTTTGGTTTAATGCTAAATTATTTTCAAAGCACTAGTCCTGTCAACGTGTATTGGGAGTGAGTTGTCAGACAAAAGTATGCAACGGGTTTTCATTAACGTTAATCATGAAGCTTAAGAAAGTTATGAAAAGGGGAAGAGGCTTTGTGATTTGTGTGTCTATTCTTGTTCTTCTAAATTAATGGTATCTTTGTTTGAATTAAAAATATAATTATTATTAAGAATATAATATTATGATGGAATTGAATCAAGTCGAATCCCATCAAGATGAAGATCGGCGACAGGTGTCTTCCACACATATGCCCGCATTTTCCATCTTTTCATATATCTCTTCTCTAATCAAATTTGACAAATCCAAATAAAGTTGAAAGCCTTTTTTCAAGGCCCTCATGCAAAAAAGAATTATTCAAAAAAAAAAAATGCAAAAAAGAAGGAAAGAGCCCTTTAGTTTTATAGTTTATACAATAGTTTCAAACTCTATAGAGGAATCTAATTATTGTAGTAAGATATACGAATTTATTTAATGTACGTAATCCAAACTTAATATTAAGGGATATCTCTTTCATGAACAACTGAAAATTTATGGTAGAAAGGAGCTCTCCTCGTGATAATCATATTGATAATCATTAAGTGTGATACAATAAATAGACTACAATAATTCTCCCATTTGTAGAAAATACTGATAAATTATAAAGTTCCGATTTATAATAGTCATTGCAAATTTTCAATTCAAGTAAGATAAGTTCATAACGATGATGTAACCAACATTCGAACTTCGAAGTGAATGTTTATCGAGTTGTTGTATTTCAAATTTGTCACTTGTTGTAGGTGAAGTCTCGATCAAATATATAATTTGAGTTAATCAAGTTGATAGCTGATAATTAGACAACAAAACCTAAAATAATGTAATAGATTTTCTCCCTAATCCCCACCAAAAATAATTGGTGTTTTTAGAGTGTTAAAAGTGGAGACATAACTAAGAAAAGAAGGTGGGTTATGGGAAATGCATGGCTGGTTCAACTCTCGGGCCGCGGGAGAATACTCTTTGGGCCACACACTTGCGACTTGGCACAGCAAGTCCATTATTTCTCTTTAGTCCTAATAAGCAAAAGCCCAGCCCAGTTTTCTATTATGGGTAAAGGTAGCACTCCACTCTCACTTACTGCCGAAACCCGCATCACAATGGTAAGTACTCGCCAGCTGAATTTGAACACAAAATAGTAACATGAACTATTGATATTTTCTTGACGTCAAGTGCATGTGATGGCTCGCTAACTCGAGTTTCGGAGTGTCGAGAATCGAGAAGATACGAACCTCAGCTTGTTACGACCTTATTCTACAAAGTTTTATGTGGACCATTCGCAGTGAAAGCCAACGATGTACAATATAGATTGAAGACATAAGATTGAGGAAGAGGACCAAAATTTAAGATCACTTTCAATTAATAGAATTCACCAAACATTTTGATGAGAAGAGGGGGGGAAACTCTTTGCCTACTTGCGTGAATAATCATGATGCAGCAAATATGATCAGTAAGCAGTTAAGTTCAACGAGTTAATTAATGGTCTCAGCAAGCAACTAGCAAGATCATTAACTATTAATTAATCTCTCATTAGGAACTGCCGCTCAACGCTATGAATTTTTTTCTCTCTTTTTTTTGAGCAACAACGCTATGAATTGATTATGGACTTGATGCAAACTTACAACACGGAGCGGCTGCACGGGATATCCAGATACTTTTGACACAGCAACCATATGAACAGTGTTAATTTAACTACAACACGGTTTCATCCGCTCAAACTTGAACAGTTCTCAATTAGGATGTAGATTTTTCCCTCGGAAGATCGTTTTCTTTGGAGATTTTTTGTTGTTGTAATAATTTGATGAAGAATGAATGTTGTGATTGATTAATAGGGTTTAGGTGGGTTTGCGCTTTACAGAAGGAGTCCATGTGGACCGCCAATATATATGTTATCCAGAAAATAGGGCATATCATATCAAGCATTTTAGGGTTCATTCGTGTCCGATCCTTTTCGTGCAACAAAAACAAAAGAGGTCGAATATTTTGTGGCCGGAATCAGGTAAAATTGTATGTCAGAGATGAACGCTATATTATTGTTATTGAACATTTGCAAATATTCTCGAGCAGCAAATTTGACGTTGAAAAGGTTATACAAGACAAATGTTTTGATTATCCAAAAGTTTTGTGTGGATTTGAAGCATAACTTTTGTTTGAAGAGCATATAATGAGGACTGGTATAAATAGAGTTTTGATTAAACAAGATGTGTATGATTTTCAAAAAGATTGGTAATCAAAACTTTTTATCTGGAATAATTACGATTTTTGGGACCATTATATCCTGGGAATGACTAAATATATATGATTTTCAAACTGACGATCACCAAAACTATTTATTATAACAGTTTATTATAATAAGGATAGAGTGATTTTAAGTTGTAATCATGCTAAATCCACCCGGTTTCAATGAAACAATGCATATCATAAAAAGAAATGCCATCTACCCCAAAGATGTAACATGTTGCCCACATATAATCTGGTTTTCTTAGTGGGTTTGCAAGTTGATTTTGTGATGGGCTGACTTAACCCTTGCTTCCTGTTTGGGTGAAGCATATTCATGCACTTATTTCCCCACTCTACTGCTAATGCACCAATAGCATCATGTTTTACTGCTTTTTGGCTGGTTTTCTATGTAGTGGGGAGATATATTGGTGACAAATCGTTATGTTTATTATGCCTAAAGTAAAATAAATAAGTTGCACTCTAGCTAGTAAATTTAAAGGTATTTCATTGTGTTAACTTCTGTTATAGAGAAATGAATATATTTGTGTTTGCTCTCTGTCTTCACTTCGACTGATGATGATATAAACCATTAGTTTATTAAATCCTTAGTTAATTCATTGTATTTATTAAATAAAAACTCGACCCCAATGGTAAAAGGTTTTGGGGCATATGTACATAAGGGGTTATCATCTTGATGGTTGGTTTCTCCTTGCTAATTCCACAGATATTCATAAACATGAATATCGAATCGCCTCGAATTTTTAAGAAGGTTTGGATGAGTTGACCTAGATTGTATAAATTGAAGCTCTCTAAAATAAGTTTCGAATAGTGTTGAATCGATGTCCTCCCAAGAAAATAACTCGTTATTATTGTAATATATGGTCTGACACACCACTTATTGTTGCTCGTTAATTAATCTTAGTTTTGTAGTTTGCAAGGAACCAAGTTCATCCCGAGCAATGTTTGTGACACCGTACGATTTTCACCTCATTGTAACGGTTAAATCGCTCATGCGATCAAGTCAGTCTATAATTCAATCACTCTATCATAACTTAAATCGTTACTTTCACGACCAATTAAATCTTTGATATAGTTTCACAATCCACCACGTTCGCAACCCTGCCCGATCTCACCATTGCCCAACAACAGACACACATATATACTTAGTGGTCCATAACCTCCTAACGTAGTTGCTCTAGTTACCATCAAACACAAACAAAACCTAACTGCAAAAAAACTGATTTCCTCTGTCACCCACACCTATAAATCTTTGTCAAGGGACAAGATGGCGGCAATCAGTGCATTCCAAATCGCCATAATTATCCCGAAATCTATCCCACAAAAGGTCCTCCTGATCATAAAAAAAAAAAAAACACAAACACACACACGGCCACATATCTTCCCCTCCCCACCACCAATAGTATAGCAATTTTACCCACTAAACCACACTCTCTCCATTGATGTAACACTTGAGTCACATTAGCTAGCTCAGTTATAAGTAACTTACATTTCCCTTTCTCTCTCTCTCTCTCTCTCTTATCTCTCTCGGCTGCGGCTTCCAACCCAGCAAAAGGCTGGCACTCATAAACTCCGACGTACGTACATCCTCCACATCTCCAACTGGTTTGCACTTCCCCCCCGGCCGCCAGCTAGCCGCCTCTCCGATTCCATATAAAATGGCGGATCCCTTCCTTCCATTCCTCCTCACCAACTCAATCCAACAACTACTAACCGCTCCGCTCAGCCATGCAGCCGAGTCATCATCAGCAGGCCGCGGGGTCGTCGTCGGGCCGGGCCTACCGGGGAGTGAGGAGGAGGAGCAGCGGGAAATGGGTCTCCGAGATTCGCGAGCCCAAGAAGCCCAACAGGATATGGCTCGGCACTTTCCCTACCCCCGAGATGGCCGCCGTGGCCTACGACGTGGCCGCACTCGCCCTAAAGGGAAAGGACGCGGAGGTCAACTTCCCCAACTCCTCGGCCTCGCTGCCCGTCCCCGCCTCCACTTCCCCTAGGGACATTCAGGCGGCGGCAGCTTCTGCTGCCGCCGCGATAGGTGCCGCTAGGGATGCCATGCGCATTCCTAGTAGTGGTGGAAGCAATGATCAAGCAGCGTCAATGCAAGGTAATTGTAATACTGATCATCAGAGTGAGATGGTGTCGACGAACTACGGGTCGTTTGTGGACGAGGATTTGATATTCGACATGCCGAATGTTCTGAGGAATATGGCGGAAGGGATGATGCTCAGCCCTCCTCGCCTTGGTGGCGGGGATGATGATTATGATTATGCTCCCGGCGGTGATGATGATACTTCCGGAGATCACAATCTCTGGAGGTTTAATTGACAACCTTACCAAGGGAAAAAGCAATGACGAATCGAAAGACATGTATCAGAGTTTGTTTGTTTGTTTTTTTTTTACGTATATGATATCCATTATCGGATACAATAAGTACCAGTATAGCTAGGTTGCGGAAAATAAGTTATGCCGATGTGCTATTGTGTGATGTTTTTGTGTGTTTGATGATAACCTTTATGGTATGTATGTAAATATGTGTCGTGGGTCCAAATAGAATGTCATTTTGGATTTGGACTATTGTGATGGTGTGTTTTACCAAGTTGTGCATTCTCTTTGTGCCCTAGCTTTATGTGCTCTGCAAGTATCGGAATTTATAACTAGCTAGCAAGCTAGGGTTTTGAAATTACAGAAGCTCAATATTTTAAGCAATGAAGGGGGCCGGGAGATTCATTTCCCTCCGGCTGGGCAGCCCCCACCGTGTTATTTTTGTTAATGAAAAGAATAAAGAATGATGATGATATGGCTATATAGGGAACCTAGACGGGATTCTTGTGTTAATATATTGGAGTTAAGTAATGACATGTATACTCAAAAGGGAAAGGTTTTTTTTTATAACTGATCATGGCAGACAGGTAACCCTTAGGAAGCGGGGTTGATGATGATTGATGACCATTAATTAACTTCCACTTTACTGAAACTACTCTTCCCCCAACTACCAACACTCACCTCACCTGCTGATTATCGATATCAGGTTGTTTATAACAAGGTCACTCGTTCAAACTCTCATATCTAACATTAATTAGCAATTGATGTAAAGCACATGATCTCATTTGATCTCTGCAAACTTTAAACTCGCAAGTTGACTTTCGTTTGAAAGATCGTGTAAGCAACTTTTGTTAAGATCGATTTATACATAAACACTTTCCAATTAATCGAGTTATTGAGACAAAAGTTATAACCCTACAAAATAACTTTCTAGCTAAAAACAATTTTCCCAAGCTTTATTTTGTGGTTTAAATAAATATAACTAATCATCTCTTGATGACTTATATAACCGAAAATAACTTCCATAGTCATTGTATAGGAGCGTTGGGTACAAGCAATTAGACTATTCGAATGGTACCGAATGCCCGAGGGATCAGCGATCATTAGTCAATAGCAATGATTTAGGTTTTGATTTCTATACAAGTAGAAGGAGAGAAAGAAAAAAAAAAGTGAAATGGAGAACACATCTCTCACATTCATCCTAGTTGTGGCATATATAGTAGTAGTCATGATGATATATTTTCATTACATGAGGAAAGAGGTGTCAAGCAGCCACACAGTGACTTCTTAGAGAAGTCGCACCCTAGGGGGTTTTACAATTGAATTAATTAATGGTTAAATACACTTATATATCCAAAACTTTCACGCTTGTGTCAATAATATCCAAATTTCTCGAAATACCACTTATATCCAATTACTTCACATTCTTTAACGGTGTTTTTGGATATATATACAAGTGTATTCAACCAAAAATATATTGGAAAATGGATAGATTTAGCAAAGAACAGTCCCACAGCAGGCTAATTTGGTTGGTGCTTGCTGATAAGGCATGCCCCCCACCTTAAGCCGGGCTAAGATCAGGTGACTAAGGGGGGGTTCCTTAGTCACATGACTAAGTAAATCTCAGCCCTTCCATCTCATTAAAATCTAATGGCTACAATTAATCTACTTTAATGAAGGGCAAAATTGTAAGTTCATGATTATTTTTATTTTCAATTATTAAATAATTTATTTCTGGGTCATTCTCCCTGCTCGTCCGCCTCATTTTTTTTTTCCCGGCCGTCCGCCTCTTTTTTTTTTCCCGCTGCTCTTCACTTTTTTTTTCCGCTGCTCTTCACTTTTTGTTGTGGGAATCTATCCCCAAGTTGATTCTTTCCACCAGGTGGAGAGAGAGAGAGAGAGAGAGAGAGAGAGAGTTTTTTTGGTCGGACAAATATTTTGATCGGAAATTTTTTTCCGGCGAACATCGTCGCCGGAGAAGAATTTCCCGGCGACAGTGCTAATTTTGTGATGTTTGTTGACATATTTTGTAATGTTTGTATGCTTTGTTATTTTGTAACGTTTGTCGGTTTTTTTGTAATGTTTGTAAACTTTGTTATTTTTGTTAACCATGTTTGTAAACTTTGTTATTTTTGTGCACCATGTTCGTAATGTTTTTTATGTCTAAAAAACACCCGGGTTGACTTTGGGAAGGAGCCCCTCTATATAGGGATGGAGCCTCCAAAGTCAACCCGGGTGTTTTTTCCCGTTCGTATGGATTGTCGGTCTAGTTTGTCATTTTTGTCCACCATGTTCGTACTGTTTGTATGTCTAAAAAACACCCGGGTTGACTTTGGGAAGGAGCCCCTCTATATAGGGATGGAGCCTCAAAAGTCAACCCGGGTGTTTTTTCCTTTTGTATGGTTTGTATTGTTTGTCGGTCTAGTTTGTATTGTTTGTACAGTTCATACGTTTGTAATGTTTGTATGTTTTGTCGCTCTAGTTTGTATTGTTCGTATGTTTGTATGGTTTGTATTTTTTGTCAGTCTAGTTTGTATTATTTGTACAGTTCATACGTTTGTAATGTTTGTATATTTTGTTGCTCTAGTTTGTACTGTTCGTATGTTTGTATGGTTTGTACTGATTGTAAATCCGGTTTGTATACTTTGTAATTTTTCATAATACCCAAACTACCCCTGCTATTAATTAAATAGCCCTTCCCACTTTTTAACCATTGGATTGAAGTGTCCAGATCTAATGGCTAGGAGGGGCTTAGTCAAGTGACTAAGCACCCCCCCTTAGTCACCAGATCCGCACTCCCTTAAGCCTTTGTTGACGTGTCGTTATCAACGAGACACACAGCTGACACGTGGGATTTGACCAATGGGGGGAGATGTTGACGTTACACCTTCCTTCGAATACTTGTCTCCTCTTCCTCTCCTCTCTACTCTCATCCTCATCTTGCATGGTATTAGTACGTACGTACGATCTCTTTATTTTTTTTAATCCAAATTCATAATTTACAATTGAAAATCAATGGTTACAATTTTTTTTCTGTTTCTTTTTGATGACGAGGAACATCCTCCGGCCTCCACGGTCATCACCTTCAATAATGTTGTAGTCGGACCAAACCCCGAGACCTCCGCCAACGATCCGGACAAATGCCGGGTGCTTCCGGTGACACCATGGAGACGGTGAAAATCGAATCTAGACTTCTCAGTCACAAGTCCATCTCCTTTACCACTAAACTATGTAGCCTTTGACAATCAATGGTTATAATACTGGTATCGTTGCCGTAATTTATATATGACAAGCTAGCTAGTTCGAGAAATGACAGTCTGTCTGAGGACAGTATCTATGTCTGGTCCAGCAACAAGCCACGACTTAAAACCGGTCGTGCTGAAGATACATATAATTAATACTAAGCAAAAGTCCCCATAATTAGCAGACAGTCAGCAAAAGTGATGATTACGTATGTGGTTAAGCCATAATTATCTCTACCTAATTAAGATGCTTGATTAATAGTGGACACTACCGCTGATACATAAAATATTGAAAGAAATATATTAATTAGTGGCCGCTGCCAAACGTAGAAAAGCCCACTAATTAAAAAATATATATACCTTCATGGCTCCATTTTAGCCACGACAAGATCTTCCTTATATGTCAAACGTGTGATTTACTATTTGGGATCATCTACAAAATTGTAAGTACGAATTGTTCCGCTTCTATTAGTTTGAACGAATATGATCACTTGTTATACTTATATGATTGAAATAGGATAAAAACAATCCGACTTCGTATATAAAGAATGAGTCAATCATATATATACTCAAAACACAAGGTGTCTTCCTAAAACCCATTTTATAAAAAATGTCGTATGTCGTTGGATCTCAAAGTGTTAAGAGATTGGCTTTAGTCACACGACATATATTAGGGCTCACAAGTCACAACTCAACTACTAGGTTTGGAGGTCTGATGGTTTTGTACAAATGGTTGGGAAATAAGTCAATAGCATAACCAAAGAAGAGATATCCAATTACAGGCCCAGCCCAAAAAGTGTTAAGCTTTGATGGGCCGACATGGAGTCATTCTGTGTACACGACCCAAAAGAGAGGCCAAGCCCGCGAATGGGGATTTCGGGATGAAAAACCTTTGAAACCAAGGTTGTCAACCCGCGGGTTGACCCACGGGTCGACCCACTTTGACCCTGATCCGGTGAGAAAAACGGGCCGCACGCACCCGCCGGGCCGACCGCTACAAGGTACCGGGTTAGAGGTCAAATTGTGTCATTTTTTTCTTTGGTTTGCGAAATGTGCCTATTTTCCGGTTTTTCTTTTCGTCTAGCTCAATTTTTGGAATGCTAAGTTGAACATTTGAATATTTATGTTATATAAGTGTGTGTGAATTTTCACTATATGTTGGATCTATATACGATATGTTATTTTGGTGTAATATTATATGTTATAACTCATATGTTAGATAAGATTTTATATAATTTATGAGGATAAGTACAATATAATGACTTTTTACATATTTCCGGGCCAAACCGGACTAAAACGGTTGACCCATTAAGCTTTAACCCACTAGCTCGACCGGATCCGGGTCAACCCGCGGGTTGACAACCTTGTTTGAAACCAATATTGCTCATCGAATCGAGGATGCCTGCTCTGATTGTCCGTTTTGCGGACTTCCTGAAACCCAACTCCACTGTCTCAGAGACTGTGAATGGACACGCCGTCTGTGGCAGTCTAGTGTGGATTGTGAGCTCTTCCGGTCAGGTGAGGGACTATCTGGATGTGATTCAAATGTAATTACTTCATTCCTTTCTATTAGTCTCGTATAAGCAGAGTGCTCTGTTTTTCTCCTCTGAGGAAACCCAGCAACTGTGGCCGACGTCGGAGATGAACCCCGGCAACCGGCGGGTAACCCACTATTTGGGTCGCCTCTGTTTGCAGCGATGGCGGAAGCACGAGGAATTAGCTCCGGCGAGTAATTAAATTGATTACCCACTATTCTTAATCGAATCAAGGAATCAGAGTTGGCAGGGGAAGGAATTTTCTTCACTCCGAAGGGTAATGAGGGAAAGAGCAGATACTCCGGCAATTTATGACTGCGGAAGGAAGCAAATGCCAGGGAACTCCGGCGGAGGTTTGGGAGGTAGAAGAAAATCCCTTAGCCGGTGACCAACGCCATCCCCAGCCGTCGCCAACTGCTGCAGGAGGAAGAGGAGCATGCCAGAAGGTAAACGGCGCAAGAACGGGCGACGGAGCAGCGGAAACAAGCGCGAAAAATGGAAAATACGGGCACCCGAAACGTCGAAACGCGAAACGTTTCGAGTCCTCAAAACCAAAATCGAAACGCGATAAATTGACGAGAAAGTGAAATTGACGATATACGATATAAAGCTAAATATCGTGATATTTTGACGATATATTGACTTTTGTGCGATATATTGACTCGGATCTGAACGGCACCATCTCTGCCAAAAACAGGGTGCGGGGAAGTCGCCGGAAAAAGCAGAAAAACAAGCAGAGCCCTCTCCTGCTAAGTGCTAACTTACCAAAGTCAAATTAAGAGCGATTACAAAGGGGAGAGCCAAGTAGAGCAAGTTGGAGAGAGAAAGAACACTGATTTCCGGCATCTGACAGCTCGACTCTGTTTTTCCTCTGCCAACGACGGCGACAGCTGGGGATCAGTTCCGGCCTAGGAGAACTCTGTTCCAGCTGCTCAAGCCCTCAAGTCCGTCGACTTTATGTACAGATAGGGACCATCAGCCATGGAAACAGGGGAGGACAAAATGATGATGCTTGGCTTGCTTTGCTTTGTAGGCTCCCCGGCCCAAACCCAAAGTGGATTCGATTCCTTTCTTGAGCCCTCCAATTTGGTTCCTTGCCGACGGCCGTCCATGGTGCAAAATCCAAGTGAAAGGCTTCACTTGACCCAATCAGAGCTCAAAACCCAACAAAAGAATCTGTTCGTTTTGAAAAAAAAATCATAGGAGAATCAAAGGTGTACTGTGCTGTGAGAGATCAATCACAAAACGATGTGGTAGGTTTTCTCCCATCCTTAAAGAGCAAGTTTATTTAATCAACTTGACAACATGAAAGACATGTTAGCACGGACTAAAATGAATCGATCCTGGTTTTGATATTTATTTATAAAGACTTTCGATTTTTCGACTTATCATTTGTACAAATAGAATGGTAATTAATTTGGGAGTTTATATATACTATCTAGTACAAACTTGACCACATTGTAGCCATATAGGATCATCGATGCCACAACGGCGCAAGCCGTAGCGTAACTATCAGCCATTGTGGAGACTGTGAATAGATAGGAATGCACTACTATTGCTTTCTTTAGAGAGGGACTGGTTGGACATGGATAATGGTGAATAGATGGTACTGCACTATTGCTCTAGAGAGGGACTTATTGGACTTGCGTTGTAGAAATCACAGAACACTAGCGGTAGCATAGTAGTTGAAACTATCAGCCATGGTCGAATTCTTTGGAAAGAAAATGGAAACTATACGGTAAGAAACCATGTACTAGGGTGTCTTCGGTCGAATTTGCGCATTCGCGATAATTCGTAACAGATGGACTAAATAGAATGAAATTTGGGTTTTGAAAAAAAAAAAAGAATTAGGCATAACTCGGAAGAACTGACCAGCAACCTTCACAGAAGAAAAGAGTCAAGATTTATAATATGCTTCTTTGATTAATTCCGGCCAAATAACCCCACATACATATTTATAGTAAAATACTGAAAATCATAATAATAAACCTAAACTAATATTTTTTTTAATAATTATCCTAAGATGAACAAATAATAAGAACCAGTTTCAAACACCCACGCTCCCAAGCATGTACCAACTACTAATAAACTACTTTTCATGTAAACACACTTTTCTACCTAATTACCTTGATCATGCTTTCGGCGCTCCTTCGCCCACCATTCTTGCCATGCTAATTCATATTTCGGGCATAATTAGGTTGTTAATTGAGATATCGCGTAGCAATTAAACGGTCAGATGAACAATTACGATAGAGAAATAGACGAATTTGAGATTGGAAGAGCAAGGAGATGTGCATTTTTATGTCTCATTGAGCAAATGATACATCTCTCTCCCAAATCTTCATACATAATTCATTTACCTATAGAAAACCAGATAGATAGCTACTAACTGATCATTTGCTAAAGCTAGGATCCTTTTACCCCTTCTATGGCCTGAGGATCCTCTGTTTCTCATTAGCCTATACCTTCTCCATTACCCCATTGTTAGACTGTACTAATTTGCTCTAATAGATGTAATAAACTAATACTAACAAATCAAAGAAACAAGTTGAGCCAAAATTCAATTCCCTTTCCCTCCATCCTCTTGTTCATACCATCAATGGACCACCACCTTGTGTCAGTAGCAGTAACTCCTCTGCTAGTTCCTCAGCTAGCAACCCAAAGATGGCAACTTCAATCTCGATCGCTGCATCCGAGACCTCATCTCGATTCCCTCTCCATTCGCCTTCTGAACGAACGAAATCTTGCTCCACCATCATCTCTATGGTGTTGGACTCCACGTCCTTCCACGACTCGAACCTCTTGCACACCCTTCTCGCCGCAGCATCTTCACTTGCACTCGAGACATTGTTGTTACGAATTGATCCTCGCTCCTCCTCGTCGATGAGGTCGGATACCAACCTCTTCATGTCTCGAGGGATGCATTGGAAGCTCGACCTGCTAAGCTCGTCTATCACAAACTGGCTCTTCTCATCTTCCCCTTCTTCTGTTTCCTCTGTTTCCTCCTCTTCTTCTTCGTCTTCGTCATCATGCTCGAGCATTAGCTTCTCGAGCTCGATGGGGTCGAGCTCTGCAAGCCTCTCGAATCTTCGGAGCTTCTGTAGCAGCTGGTGCTTTGCTCCTGGGAGGAACAATGTGAAGAGGAGGAGTTATTAGATTACTTGATGTTGAAGTTTGACTAGGATGTAAGGAAAATGAAAGTGTTGGCTGAAAAGGGAAAGGGGCTTGAATTTTTTGAATGCAGAATTTCAGGGAGCATATGGAATTTATTGCTACTAATTACTTTTTTACCAAGTTTAGTAACTAGTAAGGTGTGAGCAGGGCATTCTGATTGGCCAAACAGAAACCCATAATCATCAAAACAATGAAACATGTCAATTCATTTCACCCCCTGAAAATTTTCAACCTCTCCATCAACTACCATGAAAATTACTTTTCTTACTCAATTAAGCCTAGACTGTAGTATTGCAGCAGACCCAAGTACAAGCAAATTCCAGTTGCTAAAGATAGTAAAAGGAGCAGCAGCATTTATTTAGGTACCAATTGAAGGATTTATTGTTTCCCCACCAAAAGAAAAAAAAAATTAATTCCCCACCAAATAAACAACCTGCTAACAAAGTATAATGAACAAACAAGTACACAAGTGGGGAGGAGAATTGATTGAAGGTTTATCACAGAAGAAGCAAATATGTGGGGTGTGGAGATCCAAAAGATAAGATTTCATGGTTAAGGCTCATTAACTACTATGGGTTCCACTTCCCACCCAATATTTTCAAAGAAAGAAATCAAATTTGATGAGAAACCGATCACAAATGTCCACCTTACGCGCATATGATAATCAAATGAAACATCATAGAAGATGATGCCATAAACGGCTTAAGATACATGGTTCATGTAGATTAAGAACATACTAAAAACTCTTAGTTCATATTCGTTGGCTACCACCAAAACCTTATAGAGTGTATCATACTTCTTGTTAATGTACTTAATCTCATATCATATTTGTCGGTTCGAAAAACCCATGTCAAAGGAGCAATCAGCCCATGTCAATCTCAATCTCAGGAATGGAACCCACAAAAGATTTTACCCAGAAAGTACTAAAATCTATGTGACACCACCAATAATTCTATGGTATGATAACTTAGAAATCAAAATTGTGTGTTAGTTTTCGTACGATGGAATAGTGAGGATGATAAAGACCAGACAAACCAACCAACAAAAAGGACACAAACGAATAATAAAAAAAAACGACTAATAAAATTTGATCATAATAATAAGAACAGAGTAGCAAAAGAGAATATTACTTACTCTGTACAAACGCAAAACTGCACTCCATATCGAAACCGTCGTCCTGGGTTTGATCGTCATCGCAGTAGTCGTCCTCATCATCTTCATCGTCGTCGTCGGCGAAGAGTGGATCCAGAACTGAGACAGGGCTGCATTGTTCCTTCTCTTCTTCTGCTTCTTCTTCATTACCGGCTTGCTGTTTCAGTTTCTTCAAGCTTTCGCCATCGCTGCCATTCTCATTCCCCTGTTCATTGGAAAGTGACCAGTTAACACCAAAACCCTTCTTTCAACTATCCCAATGTTAAAACCTTTTTTTTTTCCCTATACATGAAGTTAGGGGTGGTGGTACTATGGTTTAGGTTTTCCGGTTAACCGGAATTTGACCCGTTTAACAACTTTTATTGGGTTTTTTTTACCGGTTGAATTACACACTAATTGGCTTTGTTTAAACCAATAAATCGTTAACAATTGATTAATAACCTATTGTTTCAATATTGAATAGTTAAGGTTCCTTAACAATTACAGAAGAGAGTATTCCCGATAATTATCAGTTTTATAATTAACAATTCGTTTAACTGATCTCTTCTACCATCTGATATAAAGTTAAACAATGTATAAATTTCAGGCGTCAACTATATTTGTATCATACTCACATTCTCTTTATTCAATTTGGTCTTATATAATTTGGACATCACCTTGATCATATCCGAGCTCCCCTGGCTACCAATTTAGGACTATTTTGGTTAATTAGACTCATAATTGGCGGGTTTTGTTTTTTAAAATGATTGTGGAGATAATCTTATGATACTGTGAGGAATAATTGGTGGGTATTTTGTTGACTTTTATAATATTCAGAAAAATACAGCTACAAAAAGTAGGTGACTCTAGAAAAATACAAAATTGGCAAAGTTTTGTCTCCTATAGGGTAGAAATTATTTTCTATTTTATTTTTATGAAGAGAAAAAAAAACGTATTATCGATGGTTCCAAATGGGAAAAAGATTTGCTTGCCGGATTCGTAATCGGAAAGTACAATTTTTTTACAATGGACATTAGCTAGTGGACTTCAAATGACAATCATACCCACTAATCGTCGGCTTTCACCGTCAATCTCATCAGGGCTACGTACGTAATTTGATCAGACAATACTCCGGCCAAGATTTCTGTTACAGCAGTCTCTGCCGACATCTACTGATCTAGCTAAATAACAAGTCAAAGCTTCCCGCCAGCTAACCGACGGCGGCCACCGGTAAAAACTCGGCGGTAAGGGAATCTACCTATTTTTACTTTAGCTGAGGGATTCATGGAAGAGAGCGAAAAATGGGATGTCTAATTAATTAGTTATAGATATACCTCAGCTTTGAGACGGATTGGAGAGGCGGCCGGCGACGAGAAGTCGGGAGTCCGGCAGCCGGACGACGACGGGCTGGTCTGAAGGACAAAACGGAAAGGGCTTTCGCAGAACTGCTTGTTATCGCAGGAAGCGAATTCCATGATCTCGTTGACGAACTCCATCTCCTCCTCGTCGGACAGGCAGCAACTGCTTCTGCCGGCAGAGGAACAGCCGTCCAAATCCAAATCGGCATTGGTACTCTCCGACCAAACCGCGCTGTTGGGCCCAGTACTCCCCGGCGCCGTCGTCTCGCAACCGCCACGGCCGGTCCGGCCATTTCTCAACGACGGCGAGCTGGACTTTGATTTTGAGCTCTTGGCTGAGGGAGAATCCTGGAAATCCCACCTCAGAACATCCTTCACCGACACCTTGCCGCTCTCCCCGCCGTCGATTTTACCGCCCTTCCGCCGCCCCTGCGTGATTCGCCGGAGCAGAGATCCGAAAATCCCCCCGTTCCGCGCCTTGGCCGACGACCTCTGCTGCTGCTGCTTCTGTGAGATTCGGAGAGCGGCCTCAAGGAGAAGCGACGCCGTTTTGGATCGGCGGACGGCGGCGGCAGCAGGGCTACCGATAACAGGGGATTTGGGGAAACAGAGTGGCGATTTCCGCGGGTCGCCGGAAACAGGGGAATCAGCAGAAAAGGACAAGAAACAAGCGCTTCTCGCTAAGTTTCGGGAAATGGGTCGCCGTTTCTTGACCGCCCCCGGCGGCTGCTGGAGAGATGCCGACGACGACGAGGAATAGCAGTACTGGTGCTTGGCTTGGACTCTGGTTCGGATGATTTGACAGCGGCGGTCGGCAATGTAGTCCTGGAGCAAGAAGGGTTCCTGGTCGTCTTGTAAGAGCTCGAATAAGTGCTTCTGATTAGGTGGATGCGCCATTTTTGTCGGGAACCTAACGATCAAAGTGGAAGGAGGCTTCTTTCTCTGGTTTTGGCTGGCTGGAGGTTGAAGATGATGGTTGTGGGAATTGTGTGAGTAAAAGGGCGAGAGAGGGTTAGAGAAGTGGAGGAGGTAGACGAAGAAAGGATGGAGCTTTTTTTTGTTCGAGTTTGGAGCAGAGCGGAGAAGGGAAGAGGGGATTTGTTGGGAGAAGAAGGGAGAGTTGTGGTTGGGTTCAAATCTGTGGGGGTTTAGTAAAACGAGGCAAGCCGGAGGTTGTGGTAAATAAATACATGAGACCGTATAAATACTATTAATAAAAATATATTATGAACAAAATTGTTGGTATCTGGAAATATATAATAAAATATAAGAAGAAATACATGGCAAAGTGCAACTTGAGGGTCCAGCTAGCTCCATTCGGTAGGTTTTTGTGCTCAATTTGTGAGCTTATTCGTTTTGAGAGCTCATAAGATGTTTTAGTGTTGTGATTTGCAAACCAACTTGATTATTGGCTTATTGGCTCATGAGCGAATATATCTGTATTGTATGATCTGTTTTATTGACAATTCATGTTTTTGTTAAACTTTATATCTCGCTCATAAGATATTTAAGACTCCGAGTATGGGAAAAAATATGTCTCGTATATAATTTAAATGAGAAATTATGCATCATAGCTTGCTTACACGTTAATTACTATGAAAATAAGATGATAGGAGCTAGTTAAAATTTACTTATCAAATAATATGGTGCAACCACAAGATTAATTTAAGATAATAAAAAATTGACAATTATTCTTTCTCATCATGACCTCAATTACATATATGATGGATCTTATTAATGAGTTGAGTTTGAGCCGAACTTGTGATCTTATTCATAATTAAACTCAAATAGAGCTTGTGCCTTGTAAGCTCATTTATTAGTCGAGTTCCAGACAAACATGAATCGAGGTCAAACTCGACTAATTTTTTAATAAACAAAACCCAACTATGTAAACTCGACTTCATAATTCGTTTGCGAATTGCAGCCCTTATTATTCAAAAATAAAATGGGTAAATGACACATTTGGTCACTGAGATTACTAAATCGTGTCATATTTAGTCACTAGAAAAATTTAATATCAATTTTGGTCACTCGAATTACTGAAACAAGTCACATTTGGTCACTCTTCTGTAGCCTCTGTCCAACTCCGGTCACTCGAATTATTGAAAAATGTCACATTTAGTCACTCGGATTACTGAAACATGCCACATTTAGTCACTCTCCCAAAAGTTTCCGTCCAACTACATTAATGGAGTTGGACGGAAACTGACGGGAGAGTGACTAAATTTGACCAGTTTCGGTAATTCGAGTGACCAAAATTGATATTAATTTTTTCTAGTGACTAAACATGACACAATTTAATAATCTCAGTGACCAAATGTGTCATTTACCCGAAATAAAATCATACACCATTCATAGAAGAAATTATGATCAAGTTACTAAACTCAATATGGCCCAATAGGTCAATCAATATTGATTTGATAAAATTTGTAATTATATTTCGGCTTGTAGATCAAGATACAGTTTCGGTACTTCTAATTGATTTATGTAGAATATAAATATCATATCAGGTTGGTTTTGTATAATGAACCAAACCGAACCATAACATTGTTTCTGATTATGTGATTTTCTTTTCCTTCTGCCCTGTTCTTAGAAAATCCTTTTGGGGTTATTTTGAGGAAATGTCACCTTCTTCGTGAGGCTCTAAGACCCAACCTAACTGTTCTAGACCAACAAAGAGTGCCGTTTACTTATTTTATTTAGAAATGGTTGGGAAAGGCAGGTGTCCAACCAAGTTAGAAATGATTACGTAGTCCACCGCCGGTTGAGTTCCGGTGGCTTGTCGGCATGCCGGCGAGAGTGTATGCTGGTTCTCGATTTCCTTTAATTTCTTATTATATAAAAAAAATTTGAAGTTGGAGGTTGGTCATGAACTCATGATTGAATGTGTCATTAATCCAAATATTATTTTATTATTGAGTTAGTAATTAACATGTGTTTTGTATTGTGATGTTGAGGAATTAGGCGGTGAGCAGATATTAATTAGGCTAATTTTGTTTGTTGTATTTGGGAAAATATTAGTTAGGAATTAAGTATGACTTGATATTGAAGATTAATGTGGGAGGTTCATAATTATTGATTGATTGATTATGAATATCTTCTAGAGTTAATGCTAAAAATCCTAAGGAATGAATAATTGGTGCAATATGACTTATATGAAATTATGAATACACCTAATATGTCTTGGAGGTGAAATGCCTCATTATTATTAGAACTAGTAGTATATATATCATCCCATATATATCATCCCATATGAGGTAGTTATCTTTTGATGGGGCATAAGACTACTTTAGTTTCAAAAACTTGACTACCTAAGGGAGAAAAATAATCAAATATCTGACTCTAAAATTCGAGTTTGTTATAAGTTAGTACTATCGTTAATGATTGGTCTAATATTCAAAAGACAAATGTACGCTTATTCAACTACGAGCTAGTGCTCGTTTACATGGATTGACGAGTACTCTTTTTAGGAGCACTTGCCTCTACAGATACTCTCCCTTGACGAGTTGGAGACATCATAACTAATATTAATGGATCAAAAAAACTTCTTAAGCCAATGTGAGACATGTATACTAGCTATTACATCATCCTTTTTAATCGGGTTGCCATGTTTAATCATGCGGTGCGGATGTGGTAAGGATGGAGGCTGTACGCCATCTGGAGAAACAACTAAACCAAATTACACTAGAGGAAAATGATGAAGAGCCACTGGAGGTAGACGACAGCGACGTGGATGTGGTAAGGATGGAGGCTGTACGCCATCTGGGGCTTGTAGGGAGGCTCCTGTCAGAGAAAGAACCAAATATTAAGTCCTTGAAGTACGCATTGTCAAAGGCTTGGAGTTTGAAGAAAGGTTTCCAGGTGACAGAACTAGGGAATAACCTGTTTGCTTTCCAGTTTTTGGAGATGGATGACCGAAACAAGGTATGCTATGGGGGGCCCTGGCATTATGAGAGTAACGCAATGCTCTTCATGGCCAGCTGGTGGATAAAAAAGCCGACGCCAGAGGACCTGCACAAAATGGAAATTTGGGTTCAAATCAAAGATTTCCCAGCAGAATTGAGAACTCAGTCAATGGCAGAGAAGGTAGCAAATCGTATCGGGGAGTTCGTCTTTTTTGACGACAGCACAGAAAAACTGTGGGATGAGTTTCTAAGATTGCGAGTGAGTATTTCAATCAACAAACCTCTAAGGAAAAAACTGAAGCTCAGCGTAGGCGGGGAGCTGAGGGAATTTCAAATTAAGTACGAGAAGCTCCCACTATTTTGTCACTCTTGTGGCAGGATAGGACATGTGAAGATAAGATGCCCCCAGCCGACAAAGCTGGAGGTGGATCCGTTCGGTTTTGACATGCGCACAGCGCCCCCAGCGCCAAGGAATTGGCTGTCCCATAGAGCCAAAAAAGAAGAATCTGACATTTGGAGACAACTAAGACGAAAGTTTGATCAAGAGAGTTCGGGATCGAATTCGGAAAAAGAGACGAACCAAAATGAAGATAAGCAAATGGCAACAGACATACAATCAAAAGGAAATGGTACAGAACACATACCTATGGAACTCGGACAAGACACAGAGGGGCAGAAGAAGGACAGGGATGAGATAAATCAAAGCACAGGCCCTCAAAAAAGCTACACAGGAAAGGGCATACACCAGACAGGAAAAGCAGCCTGTCAAGAAGGAGCTGTTAAGAAGTTTGCGGAGAAAGAGAGGACGGATAGGGAACAAAGGAGACCTGCTGGAAGAGTTTGGAGAAGACAGGAGCAAGGCAAGGGTAGAGAGGCTAATCGTGTGCAACTAACACCTCAGAAAAGGAACAAGGAGGCGGAAGGGTCTTGGGGCATTACAAGGGAGAAGGATGCAGTGTACCTGAAAAAAGCAAAAACATTAGTGTTCACAGAGGGAGGAAAGCAAAATGAGGAAGGGGAGAGGGAAGGAAGGGAGAAAGAGCAGATAGAAAAAACTATGGGAGAGGGGCGAGAATTCAACCAGGAAGAAAACAACAAGGCTAAATCGGATGGCGGAGTGGCGGAGCTTGCGGGAAAGCAAGCCCGCCCAGCCCAATGAGGATTATAAGTTATAACTGTCGTGGTTTGGGGAACACCACGACAGTTAGACGGGTAGCTGAGCTACTCAGAGAAAAGGACCCCGATGTAGTTTTCTTGATGGAAACGAAGAAGCAAGACCATGAGTGGGAAAAGGTGGCAGCTGAACTGGGCTGGAGCTGTAGTAAAGGCGTAGGATCCCTTAACCGAGCTGGCGGATTACTCTTGCTGTGGAAAGAGGAAATCAAGATTACTATCATTGATACAACGAGGAACTACATAGATGCGTGGATTGGAGGTGATGGAGGGGACAGCAAATGGCGGTTCACCGGGGTTTATGGTTGGCCGGAAAGAGAGAACAAACATAATACGTGGGAGATGATGAGTAGACTGCACCAAAGAGACAAGGCACCTTGGCTGGTCTGTGGCGATTTTAACCAAGTATTGGGGTATGAGGAGAAGAATGGGGAAAATCTGCCTAATACACAGAACATGGAGGATTTCCAAGCTTCGCTGGATGAATGCCAGCTTGAGGACCTAGGCTATTACGGATATCCGTTCACTTGGGATAATGGACGAACAGATGAAGGCTTCCTGGAGGAACGGCTGGATAGAGCAGCTGCAAACGAGGAGTGGAAAAAAATGTTCCCTGAAGCAAGTGTTTATCATTTAGACAGGTGGGTTTCCGATCACCTGCCAATCGAAATCGTGCTGACAAATGAAGAGGATAAAGTGAGATGGGGGTGGTATTTCCGGTTTGAACCGTTTTGGCAGCAACACGAGGGCTGCCAGACAGTCATTGAAGAAGAATGGAACAGAGACCCTATGCTAAGTGTAGAAGAACGGATAAAGAACTGCGAAAAAAGGTTGCTACAATGGAGTAGGGAGACATTCGGCAGCCTTAAAAAGAGGAAGAGGAAAGCAGAAAGAGCCCTGGCAACCATTGCAAAACAGAGAAAAAACAGGGTAGTGCTACTACAGAGAAGGGCTTTGGAGAAGGAACTAAATGAAGTCCTAAAGCTGGAAGAGATGTTGTGGAAGCAAAGGGCGCGTGTTGACTGGCTTAAAGAGGGAGACAAGAACACCAAGTTCTTTCATAGGAAAGCTTCGGAGAGGCGTAAGCGCAATACAATCAGGGAGCTGAGAAACGAGGAGGGGGCTGTTTTCAGAGGACAGGAGGAGGTATCTCAGTGCATCACCGACTATCTAAAGAACCTCTTCCAGGCAGGAGTGGTATCGAATATAGAAGAAGTCCTAGAAACAGTGGAGGTGAAGGTCACAGCCCAAATGAATGCCAATCTGATGAGAGATGTGACCAGCGAGGAGGTTTGGGGAGCTTTGAAGAGTATGGCCCCAAACAAAGCACCGGGAGTGGACGGAATGTCAGCACTCTTCTATCAGAAAAACTGGAGCATAGTAGGGGAGGCTGTTACGAAAGAGATACAACAGATTTTCTCTACTGGCCTAGTTCCACACGAAATGAACAAAACGTTGCTGGTACTAATACTGAAGAAGAAAAAGCCTGAGTTTGCAAAGGAATTCAGGCCGATTAGCTTATGCAAGGTACGCTATAAGATATTCTCTAAAGTACTTGCTAATCGGCTGAAGATAATACTAGATGAAATCATCACGGAAACGCAAAGTGCATTTGTGCCGGGGCGAAACATTTCAGACAATATCATGGTCGCATTTGAATGCTTTAACGCGATGAAAAACAGGAAGGAAGGCAAAAAAGGGTACACAGCAGCGAAATTAGACATTGCAAAGGCATATGACAGGGTAGAATGGAGTTTTCTCCGAAATATCATGACAAAGTTGGGGTTTCAGGAAGAATGGGTTAATCTAGTGATGAGAAGCGTATCGACGGTGTCGTATTCAGCTTTAATTAATGGACACCAATCAGAGGTGTTTAGACCTTCAAGAGGGTTGAGACAGGGAGACCCAATCTCTCCCTATCTGTTTCTACTGTGCGCGGAGGGACTCTCGGCACTGACAAAAAGGGCAGTGGAACAGGGGAAACTTCATGGTCTGAGGGTTAGCCGAAATGGACCGATGATTACTCATCTATTCTTCGCAGACGACAGCATATTCTTCTTTGAAGCGAAGAGAGAGGAGGGAACAGTTTTAAGGGATCTACTGAAACAGTATGAGGCAGCATCGGGCCAACAAGTCAGTTTACAAAAATCGGAACTTTCATTCAGTACAAATGTTGGGGAAGAAGACAGGAGCGAATTGGCATTAATCCTAGGCATGACAAGGGTACAACACCATGACAGGTACCTAGGACTTCCTACGGTAATTGGCAGGTCTAAAAGGGCGGTTTTCTCACAACTAATTGACAAGGTGAGAAAAAAGATCAAGATGTGGAAAAGCAAGCTCTTATCGAATGCGGCGAAAGAAGTGTTGATCAAATCTATTGCACAAGCACAGACGCTTTATGCAATGTCGGTGTTTCAGATTCCCTTGGGAGTGATAAGCGAGATTCAAAGTTTGATTGCAGGATTCTGGTGGGGAAGAAAGAAGGAAGAAAGGAGGATTCATTGGCTGAGCTGGGAAAAACTCTGCAAACCTAAGGAAGAGAGAGGTATGGGATTTCGCGACCTACATGGTTTCAATATCGCACTACTAGGCAGGCAAGTCTGGAATCTATTGAAAAAACCAGACAGCCTGGTAGCTCGAGTATTGAAAGCGAAATATCACCCGCATTGTGACATTCTCCAAGCAGAGATAGGGAACAGTCCTAGCTACATATGGCGCAGCCTTATGGCAGCCCAGAAATTGATTAGAGAAGGCACGAGATGGAGGGTTGGGAGAGGGGAAGAGATTAGAATTTGGTGGGATAGATGGATCCCAGCGTCCCCAAACTTCAAAGTGAGTTCAACGGTAGCAGGGTTGGGTTTGGATGCTCGAGTAACAGAACTGATCGATCCGGAAACGAGGACATGGCGATCAAACATTCTACAAGCCTGTTTCAATCCCATTGACAGAGAGAGGATTCTACAAATCCCACTACCGAACCATCCCCTAAATGATAGTCGCTGCTGGGGACATGAGAAAGCTGGAAAATACACCGTGAGATCAGGTTACAAGGTGTGGAAAGAGAAGCAGAACCTAATAGAAGGAGAATCCTACATCCCAGTTGACTGGAAGAGACTATGGCATTTGGAACTACCCCCAAAGGTAAGGATTTTTGTGTGGAGATGGGGATGCAATATATTACCAACAGGGACAAATTTGACGAAAAGGGTAAGAGAGGCATGTGATGAATGCCCATTCTGTGGATTGAGGGAAACACAGGAGCATATCACAAGAGACTGTGACTGGACTGGAAGAATTTGGCGACCAAGTGAAATAGCGGGTCTCTTCAGGCTAGGGGAGGGGAAGAGCAGCGAAGAATGGCTGTGTGAATTGCTAGAGAAAGCTTCGGACGAGGAACTCAGCCAGATATTAATGGCCCTATGGTTTATATGGAAAGAACGGAACAACCACTTATTCAACAACCAAAAACTTGAGGAGTGGGAAGTGATTCAGAGATCGCAACATTACCTGGAGGATTTTCGTCTCTGTCAACAGAAACCTCGACCCAATCGGCAGACGAACAGGGAGTACAGCTGGGAGCGGCCGCCATCGGGTTGGTGGAAAGTAAATGTGGACGCCGCGATCTTGAAAGAAGGAGGAACTGGTCTGGGGCTGGTAGTGAGGAGCAGCGAGGGAGTCTTCAAACTGGGAGCGCTCCATCGGACACGGGTACGGTGGCCGCCGGAAATCGCCGAAGCTCAGGCCATCCTTTGGGGGCTGCATCGGGCGAGACAGCACATTGAGGGGCCGATCTTGCTGGAGACTGACTGCCAAACGATTGTGAAGAAATTGGAAGGGAAAGTGCAGAGTGAATTGGAAATTGGCTTCTTATGCGATGAGATCAAGG